CAGAGCTTCCAGTCATTTGTAAAATGCGCCGTCGTTCCGGTTTTTTTTCCACACAAGCCGTTAAGCGATTTTTCCGTGTTCATGAACATCAGAAGTTGTTTTAATTCAAAAAGATTTGGCTCGATGCAGCGAGGTAAATGTTACAGCGAGGTAAGCAAGGTAAAATAGAGTCATTGCTAATTTTGGTACTCCCGTCATAAACAGTCTAATCGTGCAACAATTACTGCTATTTATTAGCAGAAAACCAGAACCATGGCGTATTGTCTTGTTTCTATAGCTTCTCTTCCGTGTAATGCACAGCAATTCCATTAGTATATATTTGACAATTTTGATTCCCCACTATATCTTCACATCATACTATACTTTATTGGGGTAATTTACGCATTAATTAACATTCCCCTTTTTGAATACATCGTGAACAGTTTCTACCATTATTCTGGTCGACGTTTCATATAAGAGTCCCCACATGCCCTGGCCTACCCACACCCCCAGTACGACCCTACCCCAACCTCGCGTTTTTGTGACGTCATTTGAAAACTCTTGTATGAAAATAAACTTCACCCTTTATTAGCTCTCCTTAAACAATTTCAGGTGAAGTTGATATAAAGGTCCTCAAATGACATCACAATAGAGGTGGGGTACGTGTAGGGTAGGGCTCAGGATAGAGTTGGGGTCATTTGGAGACTATTCCATATATGACTCTTCTATTAAATTTCAGCCAAGCCCTGGTTGAAACACTAATCAAAACCCTTATTCGACCTATAATCCAAATCCAATTCAATTGGCATGCACGATTGCAACTGGATCTTTTTGAATAATCAGTATCTATAGTAGTCTTCTAGATCAAGTCTTTTTTCCAGTTTAAATTCATTTCCAATCGTGCAGAATAGACATACAGAGTTTAGATCACAGAATAAGGGTTTAGATTAATGAATATCAGCATTGACAATTTGACAATAATTTCCGGGTTTTCCCCGCGTAGTAATTTTAATACAAAAGCGTACCACGTTTACCTCGCTGCATCGATCGAAATCTTTTTTAATTAAATCCACTTGTGATGTTCATGAACACAGAAAAATCGCTTAACTACGATGATTTAAAGGCTTGTGTAAAAATACGGAACAACAGCGCATTTTACAAGTGACTGGAAGCTCTGACGTCTCAACTCCGCTATAATTGAAGCTAAACAAATTGGCCAAATTGTATCAAATTTCAGAGGCTGTCGAGTCTTCAAATCGCGGTCAGTAACAAGTTTTATTGTGGATATGGGTACTTCAAACTTCCATTTTTTTAACCATATTAGTCACTGAATCCAGTTAGGTGCCACTTTTGAGAAATTTAAAGTCGAATTTGATATGCGTACAAAGCAGTATTTGCACCCGGTGCTTGTTATCGCTAAAGTTTGCCATAATCTTTCTGTAAAAGTATCATAAAACAAGGCAAGTTTCAAAGTAGAATAATTTTCACGTTGGTGGGTCAAAAAATCATAACATTTGGTTGAATACTTTTAAAATTATATGTATTTGAATTCGGCTAATTTTTATTCCTGATTTAGGCAGAGGATTTTCTGCCCAACGGCGCGGGACCGAAAAGTCGCTGAAATTTGAAAAATTAATAAAATTTCAAAATTCAAAATAGTACCCAAATAGTAGCCAAATTATACCAAATTATTCAATGGCATATTTTTAATGAACAATACATAATTATACAGTTATTAAAATCGTTCCTTCCTTCAACTACTATGTTATGGAATAGTATTGACTATATTTATCACAATACAAAATCGATTAGTATAATTAAGAATTCATTGAATTTATTTCTTGATATTCAAACTTATACTATAGCTATTATGATTTTTCAGTTGACAGATCTTCGTCAATTTTACACACTCGTCTCCGCTTAAATTGTAATGGTTTAAATTATTATTTGTTTAAAATTAATTGTAGTCCATCTCCAGGATGTTCATGTGGCTTTTATTATGAAACAGTAATTCATTGTCTCCTCTATTGCCCCCGGTATGCTGCTCCTAGATCGTTCTTACTCTTGGCTGCTGCTCAAGTTTATGGCGATGGCGGGTATCTCTTGCCGGATTCAAAAAAATTGAACTTACTTTTATTTGGTTCAGCTGATTTGAGTACAGACAATAATCGATGTCTATTTAAGCATGTCCAAAAATATATTCGGCAAACTAATCGTTTTTCAAACAATTGATATTTTCTGGTTGGATCCTTCCATTGAACCAGCTTTGATCATTCCTTTTTTGTTATATGGTATTGTTTACTTTTATTATCTATCGTCTTCTCCTGTTGTGTAATGTTTTAATTGCATTGTCAAATGTGTTGCGTGAACCATTCGATAAGCGTTTATGCTTCTGGGTTAACGCTAAGAACATATATACGTTCAAATAAAAAAAATTTATACAGTATACTGTAACAATTAAATCAAAGAGAGCGAAGAACACAAGAGTTATTACAATTGCACACACCAATTAATACTCACTTGGCAGGCAACTCCAACTCCTTCCTTGTAACCACCTCACAAATGAAGCCCCAATGTATCTCCAGTGCAAGACAATACTTTGCCAAATACTTGTCTTTCGACTCCATTGATCTCCATTGGTACACCACCATGTAGGATATTGATATCCTCAATAATTGGCTTCATGATGCTTTGAATGCCATATTTTTTACCAAATTGGTAAACATGTCCACTTTATGAGTTCCAGCTTTACTACCAAGTGGATTGCATACGTCCAACTCGTCGTGGTATAGTATCAACACCAATGCATCTGGATGCTCTTTAAAATACTCATCATTACGATAATGGATCCATCACAGATGTCATACATAACCCCTGCTTCACACGACTTTGGCTTCCTTAGGATAATTGCAGCTATTCTCTTGTTACTGAACAATTGATTAAGAATTTCTAAAATGGGTATGTAGATTTCAATCCCTGAGAAAGGATCCGGAACTTGGTCATATGCCTGTTCAAGTATAGCTTGATGTTGTGGTTCACAAGGCCCAATAGCTGTAATTAGTTGTTGCTTTACAGATTTCAATACCTGGTTTACCAAACAGGAAGTACTCTCCATGATTGTATTCATTGCAGTCTAAATATAATGTACAATGTAGTTAGGCATAAAATAAGAACATGATTTTTCTGCCTTTAGTACTATTATATTGTTAGCCACCAGAGTACTTTACTTTGGCTATTCCAGATGATTTTACAGGGAAGAAGCCTAGAACAGCCATCCTGTGTTTAGAAAGATTACACCAATTTATTCGACTTGTTGACTCTGGGAAACAGTAAGTACTGGTATTAGGAGATTTTACAAACCTGTGGCAGTTTATTCCTCTCTTTAACTTTAAGAATAAATGATGCTGCACTTCTTTGTATATCCACTGAGTCAATCTGTCAAAAAATTTGTCAATTTTTGTCAATACGACTCAATATAAACTACATCAAGCCTGTACTAAATAATTACAATCCTCCCATTCTCTGATGATGTTGAGTGACTATAAACGTGCTACTACATGATATAAATTATTTACCTGGTCTTCATGATCAGTAGCCATGCCCTCTCCCTGATCACTGTCACTTTCTTCATCAGAACTGGTAAGATTTACATCACTGTCAAATCCATTGACCCCATTCCGATTTTGATTTATTTCTTCATGTCTGTTTGCTGTGTTATTTCCTCGAGGAACGTCGTAGGTGTCACGATGTTGTCTAGTAACATGCTTGTATAACAAATTGTATTTCGTGAATATTGCTGGACATTGATTCACGCCACAGACAACACAAAAGTTCATCTTGTTGCTATGAACAGTGAAGTAATGATTGAGTAATCCTCTCAAGGTTAATGACTGGAAAACATTACACCTCAAGCATCTAAAAAAATTGACGCCATCCATTTTGCGAAAAGTGTTTAAAATATCAGTAAAACTAGAAATAAACGATTCAATTTAATGGCATGGAAGGCTGTAAATTATGACACGACTATAAATTTTTTTACAGCTGTGTGAGTGTCCAGTTGGTCCAGATATTTTCAGCGGTTATTACCAAACATTGTGCTTAATTTTACTTAAAGTCAGAAGAAATTTTTACCAAATGTGCAATTAAAAATCTCCTCACTACGGTGGCCCACAAGTATCACAGCAAATGTTTTTAAAATTACGTTAACATAAAGTTCAAATTGACTGCAAAACAAAATTTATTGAACGGATAATCTTTATATTTACTGCAACAACAATTTAATGTTGATAGCAAAATAAAAAGTCATGGCAAACTAAAAAGTCACGGCAAACTAAAAACTCGCGGCAAAATAAAAACTCACGGCAAAATAAAAACTCACAGCAAAATAAAAACTCACGGCAAAATAAAAACTCACGGCAAAATAAAAACTCACGGCAAATTAAAAACTCACGGCAAAATAAAAACTCACGGCAAAATAAAAACTCACGGCAAAATAAAAACTCACGGCAAAATAAAAACTCACGGCAAAATAAAAACTCACAGCAAAATAAAAACTCACGGCAAATTAAAAACTCACGGCAAAATAAAAACTCACGGCAAATTAAAATTAAAGCTTAAATTTGAACACGTGGTTGATAGCTACAAGTACCAATACTACAATGGCGGACGCCCAACAGGAAGAAAATTTGATCAAAGAATACTTTAGCAAGGGTTTCGAATACAAAGAAATTATCGAGTTTTTGACTAAGAATCATTCTATAAATATGAGCATCGCGACCCTTAAAAGACGCATAAAAGTATATGGCCTTCAAAGAAAAAATGCGGATTACGACATTGATGTTATTACGGAGAAAATCCGAACTATTTTGGATGGACCTGGCTGTATTGCGGGTTACCGACACGTATGGCATACACTTAAGTTACAAGGTATTTCTGTGCCAAGAAGTGTTGTCCAGCACTTAATAAAGCAACTTGATCCCGAAGGGGTAGAACAGAGAAAGGCTCATAAACTTCGGCGAAGAATGTATCACAATCGGGGACCGAACGATGTTTGGCACTGTGATGGATATGATAAGTTGAAACCATTCGGCTTTCCCATTCACGCATGCATTGATGGGTGGAGCCGAAAAATCTTATGGCTATACGTGACACGTTCAAATAATTTACCACAAAATATAGCAGCATATTACCTTGAAACAGTTCGACAACTGAGAGGCTGCCCCATGAAATTGGTGACGGATCTTGGCACCGAGAATGGTATCATGGCTTCATTACAGTCCTTTTT